CGCACGCCACTTTCATTTGACTTGTTTTTTTAATAAACAGCATCATGCTTCAGGTGTCCTCAGGTGTTTTTCTTGGTTTATTATCTCTGTGTAATAATATCTCTGGGAGGTCCACACCCAGCTTTGGAAAGACTCCCACCAAAAAGGGTAAACAAACCTGAAGAAGGGCTTAAGGAGCCTGGCTGCGACTCTCCTGACCCTCACAGTCACCTCCCGGGAAACATGCAGGTGAGCCCAGGTGTACCAGAACAGCCTTTGAGGACAGAGGGTGAACAGGAGGGATGCCCAGCGTGGTGGTGGGGTGGCTCCCAATGTCCAAAAAGGCGAGAAGGTGAGTCTGCAAATCTTGCTGTTGATCTCAAACCTTTAGAACAGCTTGTTAAACAGATGTAAGGTCTTAGAAAGGGAAGCAGCCATCACAGTATTGCTGGGAATGAGGACAGCAGTCAGGCCATGCTCCCTCCCTCCTGTTCGAGGGGAGGGTCCCTGGCTGTGACTCAGGTGAGAAGAATGCTGCTGATGTTAAAGATCCGGATTTTAACAAGTTTGCTTCAAACGAATTTGCCCATGAAGATCGTATGAATTTAAAGGGACATGGACAACCTGTGGGATGACCCAGGGATATGCCCCAGGCTCCGTACTAGCTCTGCCCTGCCTGACAAGTGGGATGAAAACTGAAGGACTAGTCATAGCTTCAGATGACAAAACTGGGTCACACCACAATGACAAGTGAGAAGGAATTTAACCTGGGCAAATGCCAAGCTCTGCAATTAATTCATCAAGGTCGCTTGGCATGAACACAAATGGACAGAATTGCTTTCAGAGCAGCACATGGAGAAAAGGTCCACTGCAGGCCACAAGTCCCATGTGACCATGGGGTGTGGGCTGCTTGAGACACGAAGGCAGCATCAGTGGTGCACCCCCAGATGCCCGTGACTCCCCTTCACAGTTGCTGCGCCTTCCCCAGGACAGGCCCTGCAACTCCACGTAGAGACCTGCCCTGGGGCTCCTGCAGCTCCCTAGCTGCAGGCCAGACAGCCTGGGTTTACAACCCCCTCCTGGGCGGCCCCCACTCTGAAGTGGAATTTCCACCCCGGGACTCCCCTGTGGGATCTGCTGTGGCTTCTGCGCCTTCCCTACTTGCCCTCTCCTCCTTAATAACTCCAGAATCCTCATCTCAGCACAAGCTTCTGAAGAACCCAACCCGAGAGCAGTGGCGAGGGAGGGGATGGTCCTCCTCCATGCGGCTCTAGGAACAGTGTTCTCAGAGGTCCACGGCCAGAGGACAGGTGTCCCAAGCGGTGTGTGAAGCTGTATAGAGGCTCAGAATGAGGAATTCTTAAAGAAAGGGGTGGTGATCACCTGCAAGCTGGCAGCACAAGAGCTAGCCCCTGCCCATGGCCGTGGAAGTGGAGCCCAACAACCAGCGCATGTGCTGAGTCTGACCTGGTACCAGGGCTTTAGCAGGTTACCCCATTTAATCCTCACAGCCAGCCTACGAAGGAGGCACCGCTATCACCTGCATGTGACAGATGAGAAAGTGTAGGGCCAGCGAAGTTAGAAACGTGCCTAAGATCTCATGGCTATAGGTGTGGATCCAGGGTTCAAACTCCAGCTTTAGAAGTTAAAACTAAGGTGGCCCACCCCATGCCCAAAGTGTTAGGACCTGCATGGGGAAGGCCCCCTCAGCACCCTGCAAAATAAGTCTAGCAGGTCTTGGGGATAGAGACCCAATCCAGCTGACATGAGAGGTGACAGCACAGTGAAACAGGCCCCCACTTTCTGTTTTTCCACCATCCCAGCACTGTGACTTCAGGCCAGCAGTGGCCTACGTAACCTACACTCGAGCAGAAACAGCTTCTCCCCCAGTTTGGAATAATGGTCTCTTGTGAGGGTGATGTCAGCCTGGGGCCAGAAAAGAGATGCATGACGGTGTCCTGGCCTCAGAACAGGCAGGCCCAGAGGTGACGAGCTGCAGGCCCAGAGGTGACGAGCTGCAGGAAGTCAGGCCTAGCCTGCCACAGGAGAGCCAGTAGACAGAAGGGAGGAATCCCTGAAGAAGACAGGGAGGATTGCTGCTGGGGTGGTGACTCTGGGGTGTATGCACCAAAGGACAGAATTTATCAGAACAAAATAAACAGGACCAGCCAGAACCAATGCCCTGTTCCTGCTGGGGCCTGGCAAATCTCTGAATTTGTATTTTTTTTTAATTCAAAATAAAATGAACATGAAAACAATGAAATCCAACACTACCCAGAGCAGAGCCTGAAAGGGTCACAGAAAGTTTGGCTAGAAACCTGGAGTCCGAGGGGAGGAGATCTGTAAACTAAGCCAGTGGCCTTGCTCTGGGGCCCTAAGCCAACTGCAGTCAGCAGGCCTGGCCCGGGAGGGGGCACAGTGAGGGGGTGGGGATGGGTCTCCAGATCCAATTCAGGAATTAAAGCTGCAGTTGCTTAAAACAGGCCTGCCGGCAGAGGCCGTGCCACTCACTCTGGGGAGACTAAGGGCAGGGTTTAACCAGGCAGTGGCGGGGAGCCCTGCCAGCACACAGGCCACACTGGATTCCAGCCCCACCCTGCAAACATTTCTCCTGGTCACGATGAAGGGGGTGGGCAGCTCGGCTGGCCCGTCCCATGCTGCATCCAGCTTGCCATCCTGGAGATGGCACACGTCAGAACAGAGAGTGAACTCATGATGATCTGCATATGACAGAGGATAAAGTCTCCATGAACTGGGTGTCACTGGTCCCAGCCAAACCCTGTGGCATGCGGCCCTGCCCTGGCACCTCCTGAACCTGCCCACCTGCCTTCCCTTGTCCCAGGTAGTGGCCTCACCCTTCCCTTGCCCAAACTGACAACCTCAACCCCTGGAACGCCCCTTCCCAAATCCACCACACGTGTGTGTGCGCGTGTGTGTGTGTGTGAGTGAGCAAGCCCCGCCCCAGCTGGCCACTCCATCACCCCCTTGCAGGCCCCTCCTTGGTGCCCCCCACCACATTCTGCTGGGCTCTGGCCCTACCTCTTTCACACCAATCTCATCTCTACTGGCAGCCAAAGGGATATTTCCAAACTGAAATCTGGACCCACCACCTTTTCCACACCTCCCCTAAAATCCCTTTCCTCAGCCACGCCAACATCTTCACAATAGGGAGCCCCTTGCCCACCTCCCAACCCAACAAACACCCCAACAGGACCTCCACTGCAGTCATTCACCACGGCCCAAGCAGGAAAGGCACCTGCAAGCCTCTGACTAGGCTGTTCCATCTGCCTGGCAGGTCCTTCCCCACCTCCAGCCCCGTGTCCAGCCCCTCAAAAGCCTGCTCAGCTGTGGGTCCATGTGAAGGTGTCACTACCCCCTGTCCCCACAGCCATTTGTCCCCTCCCATCTGGCCCTACCAAACTGGGGCTCCTGGAGCCTCTGTGCAGGGCCAGGCACAAAGGCAGCTTGGCACCCATGGGTCACTCCCCAGAATGTGAAGTGCCTGCCCTGACCATACACAGAGGGACAGATGAGCCCAGGACCCCGAGGAGGGGCACACTTGCTCCTGGGCCCCTCCCAGGTCAGGACCGAGGGCTGCACGGTGCCCAGAGCCTCATGGCTGCTTGAAAACCTGCTTGATCACAATGTAAAAGGGGTGCAAGGCTGAGTCCCCTCCTGCCCACCACGCTCACCCCCACTGCCCAGCCCCACTGGCAGGAGTTCTGATTCACTGTCATTCTTAAGCAGGGGTGGCATCTTACCCAGCCTTAGCCTAGGAGTGAGAAGGCACATTTCTGCATAAGAAGGCCCCATCTTAGGGCTTGGGAGGCATCTAGCCTTTCAGGCCTTGTTCTTCCGGCCTGCTGAAAAACCAGCCCACTGCTGCATGAGTCATCCCACCCGGCGAGTACCAGTCCTTGGGGGCGGGGAATGGTAAGCCAGCTTTCCGGTCCTGGGTTTCTAGATGCTGAAGGGACCTGAGAAACAGGCCCAGATCATGGGCCCGACTCCACCCTCACCCTTTGGTTCCCTCACAAGGGCAGACTGAGGAGTTCTGTCCCAGGAGTCTGGGATCGTCAACAGCAAGTCCCAGGACAAGGACATAAGCACACTCCCATCCTCTGCAGGCCCTGAGAAATCCTTGGGCAATGAAGTCAGGCTGTGTCAAGCTCCTGTGTCCCCCTTGTCCCAAATCCCCTGGCCCCCACTGCCTGGCCCATGTCAGGTCACATGGGCAGAACTGGATGAGTAGGCCCACAGGCCTCCCTGACCCCCACAGCTTCACAGCTCTGGCCATCTCCCGCCAGGTGGGAGCCGCCACCCCAGGGCCTGCAGCCAGGCTCCTTCCCTGTCCCCATCCATTCCTACCCTCTCTCCTTGGAAGAGCTGCGTGAACTGGGAATAAATCCTTAATCCAAAGGAATGAGGTGATAACGGTGCCATTTCAAGCACTGCAACATATTTGGGGGCAGGTGGCCATCTGTTCTCCCCTTCCTGAGGCTAGCCTGTGACACAGTGAAGCACCCTGCAAAGCCTGCAGCCCTTCTGTAATGCTCAATGTCCCCCACACAGCATAAGCTCGGCCAGAGCAGAACAGCCTCTGTCTCGTTCCCCAGGGAATCCACAGAACATGGCACAGAATGGACGACTAATAAATTGTCCTTGTACATGACTGCACTGAATTGGATCAGGTGTGTGCTGCAGAGAAATACCCCAGGCTCAGCAGCCCTGGCTTTTGATCTTAGTCCCACCTCCTCAAGCTGTCCAACCTGGGGCACAGCCTTCCCAGACGCCCATCATCTCATGTGAAAAACAGATGGAGAGGTGGAGACTCAACAAGGTACGGTGACGAACACAGTATGTGGCACATAGGAGGCCTTCGACAATGTCCCCTTCACTAAAGACCCAGGTGTCGCTGTCACTGGGACCCCACATTCCAGGTCAGGAATGCATTATTTCTCAACCCTGCTTTAAAATAAAGCCACTAAGAGTCCTAGGAGAAAACACAGCAGAGTTCCGAGGACAGAGCGAACAGAAGGTCAAGTATTTTTACGGAAAACACAGGATCTCCCTTATGCACAGTGCTGAAACCACGTCCCAAAGTTCAGAGCCCGGAATGTACTGAGATGTGGCTCTGGAGAATCAAGCCCTTAAAAAACAGCCCAGCTGAGTGGAGCAGGAAGCCCCAGGCTGCAGTCCTGTGGTCTTTAGGCAGCGACGTTCAGGTAAGAGATGTGCCCACCTGCCAGTGGGTCTGTCCATGGCCTAGAGCCAAGTCCTTGAGCCCAGGCCAGCTCCAAGGGCCACAGCTCCTCACTCAAGGGCCGCATCGGAGCAGCCACAGCAGCTGGGGCGCCGCAGGGACTGCATGACGGCTCGCAGTGGCCCCTTGCGGCCCTCTGCAGACAGGCTGTCCTCGCTGGCGGGCGCCCGCTGCAGCTGCTCAAACTGCATCTCCAAGTGCTTCTGGATGGCCACGCCAAGCACCTCGGGGTCCACTGCAGCGCCATACACCTCCCACGTCATGCCCTCAGCATCCCATCGCACATCCCGCACAGGGGATGGTGCCTCCTCCAGGCCAGACCCCAGAGTTACCTCTGGGAACATATGTGGGGCCACCGGGGCTCCCAGGGATGGGCTGGTGGCCACAGCTTTGCAGGCCGCCACTGGGGCCACCTGCACACCAGCATCCTGGGCTGACAAAGGGGTCACCAATGCGGGAGCCAAGTCACTGACAGAGGTCATGGTCCACACATCTTTGGTCCTGGAGCCAGGCTCTGTGGCTAACCGAGCAGCACCCCAAGGGTGGGCACAGCAGTGGGGGTGCCCAGGGAGCCCCCCAGGCAACCTACAGTGGAACTTTATCCCATGTTGAGACTGCAGCCCAGACTCGCTCACTGATGCTACTAGTTTGGGAAAGGCCAGAATTCCTGTGGCAGGCAGGGCATGGCAGCAGCTGCCAGCCCCTGCCTCCTTCATACCACAGAGTAGAGCTGCTGGGGGCAGAACATGGCAGGAGGTGGTGGCCGGCTGCCCGGTGGCTTTGGGTCCAGCCTGAGGACTGCTGCTGTGGGCAGTTGTGCCCTCCAGGTCTAGTGGTGGCACCTGACTCTCCCCCAGCATCCAAGCTGAGTTAGAAGTCTTATCCTCTAGAGCCACGTCCCTTTCCAACCCTGCAGGAGCCTGGCCACCCTGGCCAGAAGTACCACGAGGCTGTAGCTGAGTCCTGTGGACAGGTAAGCTGCCAAGAGCCGAGCAGCTGAGGCTGGCCTTCTGCACACTGCTGTGACCCCGGGTCTGGGTGCTACGGGCCAGGTCTGAGTGGCTCCTCTGCACAGCAGCTGCACTGGGGGCCTGCAGGTGACATAGGTCACCACTGCCCATGGTGGACACATTGCCCACAGTGCTGCTCCGCCAGTGGCCCACGGCAGCCGGCTGGGGCTGTGGGTTGGAGGCTCGTGCTTGCTCCATGCTCTCAGCCTGGCGCCCCTCTTCCTCCAGGGCCTGGGGACTGGCACTGGTCTCGCCCAGCTGGGCCTGCCATACGGTGCTGCTGGCACTCTTGCGGAGCTCTGGCCTCTGCCCCCGGCCTTCACCCAGCAGGCTGGAAGAGCTCCGGGACAGGGGCTGTGGGCGGGGACACAGGGGTGCCCGGGCACTGGGCTCGGGGTGGCTGGAGCTCATGGCCACCTGCAGGAGAGAGAAAGGAGTTGAGTTGGGTGGCAGCACCTCAGCTGGACTCTGCTGCGAGCACACACAGTGCTAGGCACACCGGGCAGACAGCTCCAGTCCCTGCTTGCCTGACCAATCAGAGCCATAAGTCAGACAGCAAATGACACTGACACTACAAGGTCATTGCACATTCTACAGAGGGATGATGCTGTGGCGCGGTCCACGCCATGGCAGGGTCCTGAAAAGAATAGCTTGAGCTGCCCTCTCCGAGTTGGCAAGGCCACTGGAGGGACAGCTGCTGGCAGGGCCATGGCTACGAGCACTTGCTTTCTCTGTAAGGATCTCTGCCTCGGCATAGTGGTACTGCTCTTACTTTCTCTTTTGATATTTTGGTTAGCGTGGCGGGTTCCTGAGTTTCCAAAAGATGTAAAAAATGACACACATACAGTCGTTGTCATAAAATTAGATAGTCCCACCAAAGATCCGGGAAGATTGAACAATTCCAAATTGTCCCTTATGAGTCAATTAATTATGCCAATGGATGTTTCAAAAACATCAGTTACAACTAATCATGAGCAATTGCCTTTACTGGAGAAATTAATAAATAAAAGAAATCCCCATCCTCTCCCTACCATCTGGGTGAACGGATATATGGGATACAAAATGGGGAAAGGAAAAATTTGGTATCCCCCTAGGGGACGTCCAAAATATGATGTCAGCTGGCAAACATCATTTATTGGAGATTGTATTAATGGCAAGAGAATGGTTGGCATTAATGAGAAATTATATGATTGGGACAAATTAAGTATATGGGAA